TTTTAAGTAAAATTGTTTTAATTAACTAGCCTTTCTGATTATGTCATCAACCTACCTTGATTGATATTTTAGTAAAATAGGGTTGGGAGTCATGTTGGTATTTTTACACTAAGAAGTTATTAAAGACATCATTGACTCTTATTACAAAGAATTTATGGGAACCACTGGAGGAAATTTGAAATTTCCTCAATGCTTGTAGTTTGTTTGTTTGTTTGTTTTTGGTGATGGTGGTACTGAGGATCAAACCCAGTGCCTTGAATATGCTAGGCAAGTACTACATCCCCAGGCCTTTAAAAAATTCTTTTTTATTTTGAGACAGAGTCTTGTTAAGTTGCCCAGACTGGGTGGGATTACAGATGTATACTACCACACCTGGCTAATCTTTTCTTTTTATAGCAAAGTTCTTTTGTGTTTTTGTCTTAACTTTCATAGACCATTTGAACTAGGTAATTAATCCTATTTTACTCATTTTATTGACTGCTAAATAAAGCTCCAGGTGAAATTTATGGCTCTCTTCTAATGCCCTTATTATCCTTATTCGTGCTATTTTTGTACTAATTATATTCATGAATTTAAATCTCCACTATTCTTAGATTTTTTCCTAAATTTTTATTTATTTTAAATAATCATTATTATTGTATTATTTTATCTTCTTATAATCTGTCTTAAATTACTTGGAAACAAAATATGTGTGTGTGTGTGTGTGTATAATTTTTAAAACATTTGTTATTTAGGTCAGTAGTATGACATACAATATTTCTGTAACTGAATCATAATCTTGATATTTTAAACTATCCTCTGTATCTTGCTGATTTTGTTTTTAATGCCTTGAATTTCTGCTTGATAAATATCACTTGAAAGAATATTCATGTATTTTAGTTTTTCAATAAGGAAAGTAGTATTGTGTGCTATTGCATAACCCTGTCTCTCTCTCCACTTGTTTCCTAATGATTTTATTTATAGCTGACTCAAGGAAGATGGAACCTTCCAAACCATCTTCCAACGTGGCAGGAGCTGTGGTCTTTGTGATCCTCCTGATTCTAGTGGGTGCTGGCATTGCTGCCTATTTCTTGTATAAGAAAAGACGTGTGCACCTACCTCAAGAGGGTACCTTTGAGAACACTCTCTATTTTAACAGCCAGTCCAGCCCAGGAACCAGTGATATGAAAGATCTCATGAGCAACATTGAACAGAATGAACACATGGTCATCTAGTATCATAATGTGATTTTGTTATGTTTGAATTTCAAAAAATTTGTAACTAAAGTTTTAAATTCTTCAACTCAATGTGATTGTTCCTTTTAAAAGTGTGTACTGTATTATAATAAATAATCTGTTCTTTTTCTCTGCCTAATTGAAGAAATAATTGCTCGTTTTCTAGCCTGGCAATATGTTTTCACCAAAGAGGGATAATAATGTTGATTACCACTGTTTGAAATATTTTAGGCGAATATACAGCACTATGATGCTTACGCATCATCCATGGGTAGCTAGGATCAACTTCATGCAGATTACAAGAGCTCTAGAAATAACCAACTAAGCCTCTTGAAATATGTAAAGGAGCTCCCCCAAATATGCTCCCACTGAATTGTAATCCAACAACTAGAAGACCATTTCAAAATCAGTTCAAATAACCTCAGATGGAATAAAAATTCAGTCAGTTTTCACTTTTAC